TCTGGTGGAGTTTTTTGGGTCTTCTTGGTATCGAATCATATTGTCAGCAAATAGTGCTAGTTTAAGTTCTTCTTTTCCTGTAGTTATTCCTTTAATTTCTTGCATCTATCTAATTGCTCTGGCCAGTGTTTCAAGAACTATGTGGAATAGAAGTGGTGGGAGAGGGCAACCCTGTCTTATTCCAGATTTTAAAGGGAATGCCTTCAGTTTTTGTCCATTTAGAATGATATTGGCCTGAGGCTTAGCATAGACTTTACAATGTTGAGATAAGTTCCTGTTATCCCTAATTTTTAAAATTAGAGATAACAGGAACTTATTTAACTTGACTTGATTTTCTTCTTTGATTAGTTATTCTTTTAGTGTACAACCTCCTACTGTTGGTTTTCATTGTTATTTTTCATTTCCTCTTCCTGAAATGTTTTGCCAAGGATGTTTTGATGTGCCGGTTTTCTAGCTGCAAATTCTTTTACCTTTTGTTTACCATGGAAGGTTTTTATTTCATCTTCAAACCTGAAGCTTAATATTGCTGGATACAAGATTCTTGGTTGGAACTCATTATCTTTGTGTTTTGAACATAAAGTGGTGTTGTATTTTGTAAAATGCTTTTTCTGCATCTATCGAGATGATCATATGGTTCTTATCTTTAAGTCTATTGATGTGATGAATTACATTTATTGATTTCCATATGTTGAACCAATCTGGCATCCCTGGGATGAATCTCACTGGGTCATGATGCACAATCTTTTTGATATGTTTTTGTATTCGATTTGCCAGAATTTTATTGAGGATTTTTTATCTATCTTCATTAGAGATATTGATTTGAAGTTTTCTTTCTTTAAAGTGTCTTTGTCTGGTTTTGGAATCAGGGTGATATTGGCCTCATAGAATGAATTTGGAAGTACTCCCTCTTTTTCTACTTCCAGAAATAGATTGAAGAGTATTGGTATTCGTTCTTCTTTAAAGGTCTTGTAAAACTTGGCTGTATATCTGTCCGGTCCTGGGCTTTTCTTGGTTGGTAATCTTTTGATGGCTTCTATTTCCTCACTTGATATTGGTCTGTTTAAGTTGTGTATATCTTCCTGACTCCATCTAGACAGGTCATATGACTTTAGGAATTTATTGTCTTCTATTAGAGTATAAGGTTTCAAAATAATTTCTGTTATCTTCTGTATTTCTGTAGTATCTGTTGTGATATTGCCTTTTTCATCCTGTATGCTAGTAACTTGGGTTCTCTCTCTCCTTCTCTTCATTAGCATGACTAAGGGTCGGTCAATCTTATTTATTTTTTCAAAGAACTAACTTTAGTTTTGTCAATTTTTTTGATTGTTTCTTTTGTTCGATTTCATCTCTGATTTTAATTATTTCTTGCCTTCTAGTGCTTTCGCTGCTGATTTGTTCTTCTTTTTCTAGGGCTTTGAGATGTGGTGTGAGGTCATTTATTTGTTGGGTTTTTCTTCTTTTAAGGAATGAACTCCATGCAATGAATTTTCCTCTTAGTACTGTTTTCATAGTGTCCCAGAGATTTTGATATGTTGTGTCTGTGTTCTCATTTACCTCTAAGAATTTTTTAACTTTCTCCTTGATGTCTTCTGTAACCCATTGTTCATTCAGTGGCCTATTGTTCTGTCTCCATGTGATGTAGGAATTTTTCTTCCTTATTTTATTGTTGATTTCCAATTTTATTCCATTATGATTAGATAAAATGCATGGTAGTATCTCTACTCCTTTGTATTTGCTGAGAGTTGCCCTGTGGCATAATATATGGTCTATTTTTAGAGGGATCCATGTGCTGCTGAGAAGAAAGTGTATCTGCTTGATGTTGGTTGATATATTCTATATATGTCAATTAAGTCTAAGTATTAAATGTGTTATTGAGTTCTATAGTTTCTTTATTCAACTTTTGTTTGGAAGATCAGTCCAGTGGTGAGAGAGGTGTGTTAAAATCACCCATGATTATTGTGTTTGATTTGAGTCTAGAACTTGAGAAGAGTTTGTTTGATGAACATAGCTGCACCATTGTTTGGGATATATATATTAATGATTGTTATGTCTTGTTGGTGTATGGTTCCCTTGAGCAGTATGTAATGTCCTTCTTTATCCCTTTTGATTTACTTTGGCTTGCAGTCTACTTTATTTGATAAGAGTATGGACACCCCTGCTTGCTTCCGAAGTCCATGTGAGTGGTATGATTTTTCCTAAACTTTCACTTTCAGTCTATGTATGTCTTTTCCTATCAAATGAGTCTCCTGCAGGCAACATATTGTTGGATCTTTTTTTTAAATCCAGTCTACTAGCCTATGTCTTTTGATTGGTAAATTTAAGTCATTAACATTTAGGGTTACTATTGAGAGATGGTTTGTATCTACAGCCATGTTTGTTTCTTTTTGTTATTTAACTTGGTTTTCCTCTTTGATTAGTTATTCTTTTAGTGTACTACTTCCCACTGTTGGTTTTCATTATTATTTTTCATTTCCTCTTCATGAAATGTTTTGCCAAGGATGTTTTGATGTGCCGGTTTTCTAGCTGCAAATTCTTTTACCTTTTGTTTACCATGGAAGATTTTTATTTCATCTTCAAACATGAAGCTTAATTTTGCTAGATACAAGATTCTTGGTTGGAACCCATTATCTTTCAGCATTTGAAATATGTTGTTCCAGGATCTGCTAGCTTCAGGGTCTGTGTTGAAAGATCAGCCGTTAACCTAATTGGTTTACCCCTAAATGTAATCTGCTTCCTTTCTCTTATGGCTTTTAAAATTCTCTCCTTGTTCTGTATGTTGGGCATTTTCATTATAATGTGTCTTGATGTGGATCTGTTGTGATTTTGCACATTTGGCGTCCTGTAGGCTTCTAGGATTTGGATTTCCATTTCATTCTTCATGTCTGGAAAGTTTTCTGATATTATTTCATTGAACAGTTGCTCATTTCTTTGGTTTGTACCTCTCTACCTTCCTCTATCCAAATAACTCTTAAGTTTGGTCTCTTTATACTATCCCATATTTCTTGGATATTCTGCTCGTGGTTTCTTATCAGTCTCGCTGTGCAGTCTATGATCTTTTCAAGATGATATACTTTGTCTTTGTTGTCTGATGTCCTATCTTCCAAGTGGTCTACTCTGCTGCTGATACTCTCATATGAGTTTTTAATTTGGTTTATTATTTCTTTAATTTCCAGGATTTCTTTTTCTTTTTTTTTTTTTTTTTGTATAACCTCTATCTCCCTGTAGAGGTGGTCTTTTGCTTCTTGGATTTGCTTATGTAATTCATTGTTAAAGTGATCTTTCATTGTCTGTATTTGTTGTCTGATGTCTTCCTTGAGACTCCAAACCATCTGACCATGTATATCCTGAAATCTTCTTTTTTTAATATTTATTTTTTAGTTATAGGTGGACACAATATCTTTATTTTTTTTTATTTTTATGTGGTGTTGAGGTTCGAGCCCAGCACTCCATGCATGCCAGGAGAGCACGCTACCGCTTGAGCCACATCCGTAGCCCCTATCCTGAAATCTTTATCTGACATTCTTTCTGTTGTAGATGTTACTTCTTCTAATGTTGTGTTGTCTTGCATTGTTTGTGGTCCTTTCTTTCCTTGTCTTTTCATGTTGCTGGAATTTCTTTCCAGCTCTGTGATTCTGTTATGCTATTGTTTTTACCCTATTTGTGTTATTGTCTTTACCCTATTTGTTTATTTTGTGTTATTGTTTTACCATATTTTTTTACCCATTTGTACTCGTCTTGTATAGTTCCAAGATCTTTCCTTTGAGGTGAAGGACAATGTTAACAGTTCCCAATATCAATAATACATCATCTACGAGCAAGTTTTTGTTATTAATACATTTATAGTTAGTCTCTATGTCTAGAAATGTTGGATTCAATTACTATTTAAAATATAGTCATTAGTTTCATAAAAGTTGTACAGTTTCTGGTGGCATATAGAGAACTGAGGGTTGGGTGTAGGAAGTTATGTTAAGGGGGAAAGATGTGAGGGTATGGGGTTAATATATCTTAGGAACTTTGGAGAACTCTAATGAAGGGGGTTATTAGCAGGGGAATAGACAGGAGGTATTTTAGGGTAAACAAGTACATGGGAGAAAAATAAGCATAGAAACAAACATATATGCATTTAGTAAATTACACATAGTAGCAATAGTAACGATTGGGAGGCTGAGAGAGGAATAGAAGGAGGAAGAAAAATAAAAAGAAAAGAAGAAAAAAAGGGAAAAAGAGATAGAAAGAAATGAAAAGAAAAAGGAAAGAAAAAAGAAGAAAAAGAAAAAAAAATGCTCTTAGAATTCTGTTTTCTTCTCTTCCAGTAGGTGGCATTATGCATTCCAGGTTGAGACTCTGTCCTCAGGGTGGTGGAAGCAACCTGTGTGAGGAGGCTCTCCCTCTCCTGCCTGGTGCCTCTTCGATTCCCATATCTTGGGTTGCTCCGGGTCTCTAGCCCCCTCCCCTCTCCTGCCCACCAGGTCCCAATTGCGGGATCTCTTGCCCACAGCCCCCTGTTCACTCCAGGCAGTCACCGCATCATCACAGCTGGGGGAGAGGGAGGTGGAGACCAGGCACCTTGTCAGTTGCACCCCACTCTGATAGCCACGCCCACTGAAAGCTGGCGAGAATGGTTTTGAGTTATCACAGCTGGATGGGGGGGTGATGGGAACCACACACCTGTTCAGACGCTCATCAAGCTGTCAGCCACACCCACTAAAGGTTGATGAGATAGATTTTCCAAGGTGGAGACCAGCTGTTTCCCTCACGGGGGTGTCTGATGAAGTGGAGGGAGCTGGGCTGTCCCTATGCTACATCCAGAACTTGGTCCTTGGTTAGGTGTCCTGCACTGACTCGGGTTGCAGTCTGGAGTGCTTCAGCCCTGAAGGGGCATCTCCTGCATCTCCGCTTTACTGCCAGAGAGCCGCCATGCTCAAATTCCGTCTATCCATCCCATCTACAGTGGCTCCGGCGCTGCACCAACTCCCCTTTCCTTGCATTCTGTGCTGCAGAAAATCCGCTGTTTAGGATCCTACTACACTCTTGGAGAAGCTTCAGTTTGTCAATGGGAGCCCACGTGGGGAAGCTGTCTGATCACTCCCTGGGATTCACGCACAGAGCAGCCAGGAACAGGTTCTCCTCTACTCCGCCATCTGGATCCAGCCTTGTAAATGGAATATCATTATTTTTTTTTTCTGGTAGATGATTATTAAGGACAAGGAAATGCATCTGATTTTCTCAGGTGGGTTTTGTCTCCTGAACTTTAACTGAGCTTGTTAATTAGTTCTAACAGTTTTCATTGGAAAAGAGTGTAGCATTCTCTATGAAGAGGACTTGTCCTCTGCCAACAGAGGCGGCCCTTCCTTATTCCTTTCTGGTTTGGATTCCTGTGGTTTCTTTTTCCTCACAGATTCCTCTGTCTAGGGTCTTAAGCACTACATGGAACAGACATTGCTGCAGTGTGGGCAGCCTCATTTTTTTGGAGGACGTCCATCATGAAAAAGTATTGATTTTTTTCAGAATCATTTTCTACTCCTATTGAAATAGTATGATTTTTTATCTTTCATTCTGTTCATATGGTTTATCATATTGATTTGTTTATGTGTTTTGCAGCATTCTTGCACTTTGGGATGAATCTCACTTGATCCTAGTGTATGATTTAGTGAATGTTCTGTTGAATTTGCTCTACCAGTATTTTGTTAAGGATTTGTGGCTACAGACATGAGGTATATTGGTCTGTACCTGTAATTTTTATTGTGTTTTTTTTTTTTAATATTACAGAAACTTTACAGTCTGGCCTAGTTGAAAGTCATCCAAGTTGTGTTTAGAATGCTGCTTCTCAGACAGGAAAGAGAAAGCTGAGCAGAAGTCCCATCATAATTCCTTTCTGTGAACCTGAACTTGCCCTTCCTTGCTGCTCCATGGGTGGACTCCACACATTGACCAATCACTGTGGGAGGCCAGGCCTTAGCACTCAGCCTGTCACCTGGTACCATTAGTCCTGAACCAAATCCTGTGGGAAAAAGCCAAAGCAGTTTTTTACTTGCATTAATTGCAGAGTTATATCTTTAATGTGTCCTTTATCAAATGAGGTCTTCTCTAGAGAGACCCTGAACTTGTCAATGTGTTTCTTCATGTAAGAGCTTCCTTGACTTCTCTCCTTGTGGGCACAGATAGACCTCTCTCAGCAGCCACAGTGTTCCTTGGTGGGTGGGGAGCAGATTTGGCCATCCACCCCTCTACGTGACTCCAGTTCGGGCCATTTCTACCAGTGCTGGCAGGATAAATAACTAGCTTTCTACATGCTGGATGAAGGAAAGGACACATGCTAAGGACATGGAAGGGTGCTGCAAGATGATTCTGAGGAGTATCCGTGACCACATCTCCCAGGGGATCTGCCCAGGCCTTCGTCTCCTGTATTCTAGACACCAGGGCTGTTTAGCACCAGCCATCAAACCTGCCCACTCAATGGGGGACAAATGACATCTCAGTAATATACAGGTTGATATTCAGAGGTTGAACATCTTTAACAGTTACTCTGTGCAGTGATTCACTTTTGAATTGCAGGGATTTGTCTTTTGTCTCCCTAGAAAAATGATTGACTCCTGAGGTTCTATGAGTCCCTGGGGTATTAACCTTTTATCAGTCTAGGGTTTTAAGGAACACTTTACTAGTTGTGATTTTTCTAAGTATCTGTGTTCTTTTTGTTTTTCCATCGGGGGTTAGTCATTTCCTATGTGACTTCTGACCCTTAAGTCAGAAGAAAATACTTTCAATTTCAATGTTATGAAAGAAACTCTACTTTTTCTAAATGAACTTAGACCTGCTGGATGGGTGGCACATAACTCTATCCAAGTGACTCAGGATACTGAGGAAGGAGGATTTGAAGTTGGAGGCTAGTTTTCCCAACTTAGATGCTCAGGAACTTAGTGAGACTCTATCTCAAACAGAAAAACAACTGGGGATGTGGTATAGTGTTAACGTGCTCCTGGGTTCAATACCAACTTCTTAAACAAGTAAAATAAAATAAACAAAACAAATAATACAAAACCTAATAATCTTAGCTGTACATGGGATTTACCATTCAAAGAAAAGTGTAAACAGTCCTTCCACTACTATATGGCCAAACACTGCAGTTGGACTGCAGTGATGTGAAAAACCCAGAGGAGGCAAACCCCAGGGAGAGAATAATGACTGTTCCCTGGAGACTAGCAGGAGGGAGAAGGGGAGGGAGTGGGTATGGGTACCAGATACAGGACAAGGAATGCAATTAAAGCCCATAAGCTGGACATTTTTTAAAAATACAGTCTTACATTTTAAAATAAAGTAGTATGAACAAAAATACAAAAAACCAAAAGGAGAAAACAATGAAAGGGAGGAAAAGGAAAGGGCAGCTCTGGGGTGGGAATAGGTGCAAGAGGGCCCTCAGTGGGTGGTGCTGGCTGTGGGGCCACTAGGAGCCACAGGCTTGAGGCTGCTGTTAAAGGTGTTTCTGACCCTGGTGCTCTCTCAGGTGGTGGAGGTGGTAATGGAAGTTGAGGTGGGATTTTTTTATCTTTTCCTTTATCCTAACTTACAATCCCGTACAGTCCACTACATATATTTTTCCAAGTGCTTTATTATTCTGCTTGTCTTGTTGTTGGTATTACCATAAAGGGTGTCTCTGTGTACTCTTCCGTTTGGCACTGGTGTTGAGACTTACCTGCCTGATGTGTGGAGCTGGATGTGTTCCCTGTTACAAAGTGAATTTATCTTTTCTCCAGCCATTGAACTTAAGAGTTCTTTTTTATTTTCATTTTTAATTTTAAAAGGTTTAAGTTTAGGCCAGCTCAGCAATGGAGTCCTGCCTACGACCTGCACAGACAGCTAAACTAGAGGTCGCTCTAGTCAACTTCCTTAGGCATCAAATAAAACACAGACACACAATTTACCTTTAAATCAAGTCCTAGGATGGCTCCTCTGCCCTCCGTCTCAAGCTCCCAAAATGGAAGAGCGAGGAATCTCATGAGAGGCTGGCTAGAGGGAATGAGCACATTTTGGAGTAGACTTTATTGGGGGGAACTCTATATTCTTTAGAAATTTCCATCCAATGAAGGTCAAGAGGGTCAGGACAGGTGAGGTAACTCGATCCCTGGGGATGTAGGAAGGCATGCCCTGGGGGATGGAAGTCCAAATTTTAATGCTCCAGTAGGTTGAATTGCAGGATTTATTGCCCTTAAATCTTGTATTAACCTCCAATTACCTGAATTTTTCTTAATTACAAAAATGGATGTGTTCCAAGGGCTAAGTGTAGGCTCTGAATGACCAGCTTTAAGCTATTCTTTGACTCAAATATGAGCTATTTTAAGTTTTTCCCCTGTTACAGGCCACTGACTAACCCAAATTGGCTCTTCTGTGAGCCAAGTGATCTTTTTTGCTACCTTTATTTTTAGAGAGAGAGAAGAGAGAGAGAGAGATTGAGAGAGAGAGAGAGAATTTTTTAATATTTATTTTTTAGTGATTGGTGGACACAACATCTTTGTATGTGGTGCTGAGGATTGAACCCGGGCCGCACGCATGCCAGGTGAGCGCGCTACCGCTTGAGCCACATCCCCAGCCCTTCTGCTACATTTTGTACCGGGAAAAAGTAAGGGCCCCTACCAAAAATTTTGGTTGGGTGCATTAATTAATCTCTGTCGAGGAGACTGGTTCATAAGTAGAGATTCATCCTGTAAATTTCTTTCACTATCCCTAGGAATAAACCATTGATTAAATTTCTCAGATGACTTGATAGAATTTGGAGTTACTAATAATAATCCTAAACTGCTTAGGATATCTCTTCCCCATAAGTTTACTGGTAAAGAATCTAAATCATATGTCTTAAAAATTTCAGTATTTCCATCTCAGTCCTCCCAGTGAAGATATTGGGCACTCTGGGCAGGCTGACAAATCTGTCCTATTTCTTCTAAATTGGCTGGCGCAGTATGGAAAGGCCAGGTTTGGGGCCAAAATCAGTGAGACAAAACTGATTTATCTACTGCCTTTCATAAAATTCCACGCACAAACCCAACACCGGGCAGTGTTCCCAGTATCTATAACTCCTTGAAATTTTTTATGATTAATTTTTAAGTTCCAATAGGGGGTGCTCCTGCCAAACTAATTGGGCCCAGTATGCTCCGCCTGGCGATTTGGAAATTGAGATTTTATCCGGACTGTCCACGGAGCTGCAGGGTAAAAGAATTAATTGGGCTAGCGCGTTTTTAGTAGAAAGCTGAATGGCATATTCTGATTTTACAGTAACTGTTATTTCACCTCTAAAACAAGTATCAATAATTCCCAGTAATACTTGGATTGACTCTTTAAATTTCATTCCAAAATTAATCCTATAGTGCCTGGGGGTAATGGCCCATGAATTCTGGTAGGAATCCGCTGGGGTCCCATTTCAGGTGTTAACATGGCTAGTTGAAAGAGTACTGTGTGGGTGGTGCCTGCTAGTAAAAATGGCGGTCCGCCATGGCCAGCTATCATGACATCAGAGCTTGTGACTCCTCCAAATCCCCTTCTGTTTGGCAGGCCTGGGGAAAGGCAGGGTTAACTAGGACATGTGAGGTAACTCAATCACTGGGGATTTAGGAAGGCATGCCCATGCAAGAAGACACATTTGCGTTTTTCTGCCCTCAAGATGGGGGCTATTGTGTTCAGCTACTTAAAAGTAGCCACATCACCGGGGTGACCATCAGTGCCATAGCTAATCAGGAGGGGAAGCAAACGCTGGTCACATGCTATGGCAGCCTCCAACAATGGAGCA